GCTCCCGCTCGCTCTGCCGCGCGCCCAGTTCTTCAAGTTGAGAGTAGCTGTGAGCCCGGGTTCCTGCCCTGCTGCTAACTAACTGGGGGAATGTGGATACTCCAAGTTTCCGTGTCCTGTCTGTAAAATGGAGGAAGGTACATGCATCTCATAGGGTAAATGCATGCAGAGCGTCGGCAGGAGCGGGTACTCAGGACTCAGTAAATTAAGCTAGTGTTCTTTTTTAAAAAAATATATATTTTATTGATTTTTTACAGAGAGGAAGGGAGAGGGATAGAGAGCCAGAAACATCAATGAGAGGGAAGCATCAATCAGCTGCCTCCCGCATCAACCCCCCCACCCCTCTCCCCCCCCTCTCCCGTAGTCCACTTTGTTGCTATTTCTCAATTTTGGAGTTTCTTTGGGAAATACCTTCAAAGTCAATTTAGAAAGGGAACATGGGTTGACCACCTACTGAGTGCCAGATGCTTTACATAGATTATCTAATTTAATCCTGTCAACCCTATGATATATTTTTATCCTCATGTTATAGATAAGGAAATTGAATGGCAGAGAGAAATCAAGTAATTTTTCTAAGATAATACAGTTATTAAATGGTAGAGCCAGTGATGGTTAATACTGAATTGGCAATACTCCTGGGTGGCAGACACTGCTACTTATCCCTCAAAATCTGTTCTTTTTTCCTTTGATAACAGAATCCCTGAAATCTATCTGGCCTCATGGATGCCCATCTAACACTGCATTTTCCAGTCTTCCTTGCAGCAGCTAACCATACACGTGAGACTAAACTCTGACCAGTGAGATTTGAGAAGAAATGATATATGTAACTGATAAGTCATAACCTTTAAAAAGTTGTTTTCTTCCACTTCCTCTTCTTACTGGCTAGAAGGAAGGTATTATACTGGAGCTGGAGCAATCATTTAGACCATGAGATGTAAATCCCAGGTTGAGGATGGCAGACTATCCTGCCTACCTCCCCAAGCTCCACAGAGCACTATATTAGCCCTGGGTTACTTATATGAGACAGGAATAGAGTTCTCTCTGGATACAGGCACTGTTATGTTGGCTTTTGTTATATAATTGGTAAAACTGCATCCTAATCAATACAAAATAATATACTCCATTTACATAAGGAAGATTAACAGATGTGTCCCCAGCACCTACTTCTGTGCCTAGCACATAGTAGGTCCTCTACAAATATGTTGTTTTTTTTAAAAAATATGTTTTTATTGATTTA